ATTTAAATTGTGATCACAAAAGGAAATAAAAGAGAGGGGGGGAAACCCAACATTTCACAGCAAACTAGTCTTCAAGGGTGAAATTTCCACAGCATATTTACTGTATGGAATCAATCACTGGCCGAGAAGGAATATCTGGTGTTCTGGCACCTAACACCCATACTCACTGCAGTTTAGGTGACACTAATCCTTAAATCTATCTTAAAGAGAAGGCAGAGTTGTTGCAGACTTAGGCAGTCAGAGCTTAGAGTCTATGAATACAAAAGCAAATTCAACTTGAGTTGACTTTTGAGATCTACCTGAAAATAATATTTAAAACAAATCTTTTTATCTTTTCCCTAGAATGTTGGTATGTGTGGTACCACATGCACCATATGTACTTCTAATCTGTTGGCCAGTAGTAAAACAATGACCTTATATACACACCTATTGAAAACTCACTTCTAACAATCTAAAACGACAGGGGAAGGGAAAGATCATGGTAGAACACCAGTGAGACCACCTATCTACAGTGAACCCTGGAGGTAGGGAACTGGATGTCTAGTGAACATGTATAGCTCAGGTAAAGAATAGCAAGAATGTATGTTATGGTAATTCAGACTAAAGCCAGGTGCAATTGTTGTTGGTGTGTATCATCAAGTTGGAATCTACCTGTAGCTGATTCTCCAGTGGGTTTTCCAAAGCAAATTAATCACACGGAAAAAGATTTCTTCCGTTGAGCCACCCGCTTTTGGGATTGCAGCTCAGCTTCTTACCAGAGGTTATTATTGTTGTTGTGTAACACTGAGTCAAAACTAACCCATAGCTGACCTTTCACTGGGTTTTCAGAGGTAGCCTACTGCATGGGAGGAGACTGCTCATCTTCCTCCCACAAAGCAGCCGGTGGAATTGAACCTATCTATACCCGAGAGTTAGCAGCATAAATTTTTATACTTGAGACTGTACCAACGTGCTATTAAGGAATGCATGTAGTAAGTGGGCCCATGTTGTTAGGGAGGGGATAAGTGGGAAGGAAAATGTAGTCAACATAATGGCAGAGGCTTAAGAATTGAAAACTATAGTGAAAAACAGAGGAAACAGGTGTGTGCATCAAGTAGGAGATAAACAAAATGACAGGCAAGGAGAGAGAGTGAGATACTTGGTTTCCAGGTGGAATTTCTTGAGCTAGAGCCAAGTCCAGTTGGTAAGGATAGCTATGGGGCTATCCTGCAGGAAGACTAAGAGTGAGCAAAAACAGCATGGGAATGGAATAGTCATAGACTTTATTAACATCAAGGATTACTTGTACATAAATTGGAAAGTTAAAAGAAGATAAACATCAGACACAGAAGCCATCACAGTAGTTGCACAAAATGAACTTTCAATAAAGTGAGTCACCTTAAAGCAATGATTATTAAAAAAAGGCAACATAAATAAGCAAAATGAATACTAGAGAAAAAGGAAGGTTATATTCAAAATATCCAAAATCAGCACGGGAGATAGAGAAGAAACTCTTATATTCAGTTCCTTACAAACAAGTAAGGAAAACTAAAAGTAAAAAAAAATAAGTAATTACTTAGAATTTTCCAAATGGAAAGAATGTTGGATCACCTCCAAGAGACACTTTGTAAATATAGCAAGAAGAGAGAAAAGAAAGAAGAAATACTGAGCATTTGAACACTAATGGCTTAGGCATAAGAAGGGATGGGAAATGAGACAGGGAGAAATCAAATTGTAATAGAGATGAAGGATGACTGACTTAAGGGAAAATGTTATTTAGCATTGATTTGGCTAATCATGATGTTAAGCAACAATAAGAGAGAAGGCAAGGGTATCCTGCTGCTAGCAATGTTTAGCTATAAATGCTGGAGATACAAACACAATTGAACAATATAAGACTTCAATGGCATGGCGGAAGTACGACTCTGTGGAGTATGGTAAGTATTCAAAATTACAGGATTATAATGAGAAATATACTGTTACAGCATGACCGTTTAAAAGTTCTAAGAGTTGGAGTATTCTTGCTGAGAGCTGGTGAGAAAGCGGGCTGTTCTTAAAAGTCATCTCAGCAACAGTGGCCAGGAAGATGGCAGAGGCGGACTTGAAGGGTGGATGGTGACAGATGCATAAGCACAGAGCATAAGCACAGGGAGGATCTCGATTTGAGAAGACGACAAATGGAAAACAGAATGGTGTTCCATGTGTAGTGAGGGAACTCTCCAGGGATATATCAGGTTAGCTGTGGGAGAAAAGTGGCCTTACTCTCTGACTGGGATAACATGCAAATAGGCAGCTGTCCCCCACACACCCACAGACAGGTTGTATCCAATCTGTCTGGTACCACTCAAAAGCCCTTGATAACAAAAGCAAAATGAAAAGAAAAATAAATTTAGAAATGCAATTTAAAAGAACCTCATATTTCTGGACATTGCCATAGGTGGGGGGAAAAGACTCATAAAACACATGACATTATTTGTAAAGCAGTCTGGCTAAGAGTTTAATATGAATTATGGTGAGAACAGATTCAGAGTATGACTTCTCTGAATAATTTATTTCAGGCAGCTCCTAGTGTTTGGAAAACAGTAAACTTAGGAAACAGCACGTCTAGGCACCAGTTCTTAGAGGCCAAGTGCAATAAGCAAATGTCAATGGAGCAAAAAATAAAGCAAATGAGAGAATCTAGCCAACGCCAGTGACTTTTTCAAGAAAAAAAAAAATAATGAAAAAGTATTAACGCTTTTGTGTTTCTGGTTTGTTTATTTAGCAACTTGCTACTCTATAAACACCAAGAAAATTATTACTTTCATCCAGCAAGAACGTTGTTTTCTAGGTGTCAGCAACACAATGAAAGGGTAGCAGCCTCATCTCGCTCACAATGGTAGACGATCAATGAGAACTTGAGGAAATGAAGTTTAGAATCATTAAAGCTAATGGATTTCCTTTGAAAGGTGCTTCTCTGTAGCAGCCTTTAGTCACAGACAGCAAGCAAAGGAGGGTGGAAGGAAGAAAGAGGAATGCAATCGGAGTTTCTCAATAATGATTCTAGTTTTAACAAAAATAAACAATCCCATTCTGGACAACTTAGTAATTATTTCACTGACCACTGCTTGTAAAGAGCCCCTCTGCTGTTGCTATTTGGTACTCTTTTCTACTTTTAACATACTTACGTCTATTCTCTTAATATTAACAAGCAGTCCTATCATTAACATCTAAATTATGCAACAAAGAAGTAAATCTAAGCAGAGGGAAAATCAGTATCTCTCAATAGCTGAATTTACTAAGCTTACAGGGTAGATTCCATATGACCTGATATGACCTGCTTTGACTGGAGAACTCTGGCTTTTCTTTGGTCTTGGCTTACTCATACCTACTAGAATTTTTACTTTAATAAGTCTATGGTTTTCTAAATTAACTTTTTTTGTTTTGCTCCTAGATATTCAGCATATTTGGGATCTGCAATGTGCCTTAAGGTCACAGTAATGGGGGTTTTGTTTGCTTTTGATGCTGTCCAAATGAATCAAGGTAGTGAATGAGAGAAGGTATGTTGACTGTTGAGAAGATAGAAGAGAAAGTCAGGGTAACAAATCAATTAGAAGAATACCAGCTATTGAAGCAGCCAATCTGAAGAGATCTTCTGCTTTCCTTAGAAAATAATTGTGAATGTTTTTATAGGAAGATACCAAGAATTTCCTAATTGGGGCCAAGTTTCAAATATGCTTTTGATAGCTCTTTTAAACCATATATTAATTCAACACTCAAACTATCAATGAGATAATACTACATATTCACTGGGATACCTATTATCAAGAAAACAAAGAATAACAAGTGTCAATGAGAATGTGGAGAAAACGGAACCATTGTGCATTGCTGCTAAGACTATGAAATGGTGCAACTGCTGTAGAAAATAGTTTAGTGGTTCCTTAATAATTTAAAAACATAACTACCCTCATGCAAACAGATAATATCTATAAATTTTCACCACAGAATTATTAATAATAGTCAAAACACAGACATAACTCATATATACACCAGTAGATTAATGGATAAATAAAATGTTGCATACACATTTACTGGCATATTTCATTCTCAGTCATAAAAAAGGATGCTGTTCTCAGAGATACTACAGTCAGAAAATAGTATCCTTAATGAAATGAAACAAAGTAAGAATAGATTATGCCACATCTATTATTGGCTAGAAATATCAGGTATAAACCCAATAGGAGGAGACTACTTTCTTTTTCTCCAGTGGAGCAGCTAATAAATTCAAATTTTCAACTTTTCAGTTAGCAGTTCAACACTTATCCTCCTCTATGACCAGGACTCCCATGATATATCTGTTGTTGTCAGTTGATGTTGCATTGGAAGTGACTCATAGTGACCTTCTGAATAGCAGATCTGTACCCTGACTCGTCCCATACCATACTCTTTGATATACTTAAGCTCATTGTTACAGTCACTGTTTCATTCTTTCTTGTTAAGGGTCTTCCTCTCTTTCACTGACCCACAATTTTCCAAATATGTTGTCTTTTTCCAAGGACTGGCTCCTCCTTACATGTCCAAAATATGCGAGATGAAGTTTCACCAACCACGCAAGGAGCACTCTGCTTGTGATGTATTTGTTTGTTCTTTCAACTGCCTATGAGATACTGTACTCCTCTTCAACACTACAAATCAGAAGTACCAGTTTTCCCCCCTATCATCTAGATTATATATCTAGAATAGTTAGATTCTTAGATACAGAAAACACTGAAGAGAGTAGTAGTAGGGGTTCAGTAGATGGGGAAATGATGACATTAGTATAGACTTTTGTTCGGGGTAATGAAATATATTATCATGATTTACATGAATTGTTTACAGAACAATTCAATATGAAGAATACCACTGAATTGTATATTTAGACACAGTCAGAATATAAAAACTTGTAATATGTATGCTACTACAGTAAAATTTATACACACACACTGCAAAATAATTCTTCATATAAAAATCATAAAGACATGGATTCAGAAAAAGTACACTACCTGACAAGACAACTTCAATAAGATCTCCTTCCTGGATATCACTAGCCGCTTTCACCAGCTGAAGGATGTTTTCAGAGGTAGGGTCATGGCGAAAAAGTAGAATCTTATCATACATTCCGTAGAAACCACATTCAGGGAACTGCAATACAAATGTCAAATGTCAAAATCTTCCTAAATGTAAAACAAAAGTCAAATTAATAAATGTCACACAATGTAAGCTAATAATGTTGTTGTTATGCGCCGTTGAGTCGTTTGCAACTCATAGCGATCCTATGTACAACAGCCCTAAACCCTGCTCTATCCTGTGCCAAACGCACACCCATCCTGATTACCCCAGTCACTGGATCAATCCACCTCATAGAGGGTCTTTCCCTCCTGCGCTGTCCCTCTACCCTACCAAGCATGATGTCCCTCTCCAAGGACCCGTCCCTCCTGGCAACATGTCCAAAGTATGTCAGGCGAAGCCCCAGAATCCTTGCTTCCAAGGAGTAGAATGGTTGAACCCTCTCTAGGATGAATCTGTTTGTTTTCTTGGCAGTCCATGGTACATTCAATTCTCACCACTGGACCAATCAGTGGCATCAGGATGGATGGTGAAGAGATTAAGATTGTTCACAGCTTCAGTTTGCTCGGTTCCACGATCAACACTCTTGGCACCAACAGTCAGGAAATAAAAAAACGTATTGCAATGGGAAAGTGCTGTTAGGGACCTCTCTAAAGTACTCAAGAGCAACGGTGTCTCTCTGGAGACTAAGGTACGCCTGATACAGGCCATGGTCTTTGCAATCACTTGTTATGCATCAGAGAGTTGGACAATGACTAGGGAGGATAGAAGGAGAATTGAAGCCATTGAGCTGTGATGCTGGAGAAGAGTATTGAAGCTAATAATAAAAATTCAAAATATCCATTGTTGTTAATGTGCCCTTAAGACCCACCAACCTTTCAGAGGCTGAAAATTGCCTAAGAGGCTGCCCATCTTTCTCCTGTCTGGGACCTGATAGATTTGAAATAAAAACGAATGACACCATTGAGATTGAAAGTCTCCAAATCAGGAGAGAAGAAATCATTCACCACAAGGGCTAGAATGCCTAAATGGTCTTCTAGTTAAAGAATAAGTAGGGAGAATATGGGGTAAAATTCAAATAAATTCTTGGCACAAAAGTGATTAAGAAGTACCATAGATAGGAAGAAGTAGGCATTTTCACAATACAACAATCTTCACCCTACAACATAACTATTACTGAACTTAATTACACTTCTATTATATTTACTTTTTTTGATTTATTTGTAAAGAAATTCAGTTTGCTTTGGCATATTTGAAAATAAAAGATGACTTCATAGATCTAAAAGTGTTCTGGGGCAGAGGAGTGTTCTAGGGGCAGGGGAAGGTAGAATAGTAATCTAGATCTTTTCACTCAAAGGATTACCAGAACATGCAACCGAATTCTTCCATTAAGACGTCGGTAAATTTATGTTAACATAAATCTTATTGATTTTCTCTCCAATGAATTTCTTTTGCTTTCACAGATTATAATTTTCTGTTTTCAACTGCATAGGTTTCTTCTCTTTGTTATATACTTCCTTCTGCTTCCCTCTGGTTTAATTTTATCTTAAACTGGAAATTTAGATTTTTCTATTTAGATTTATTTTTGTTTTTTATAATATTAGCAGCTAATGCAATATTTTTTCTTCAATACTGTTAGCAGCAACCCCCCCTCAAATTTGGTATTGTCTTTTTTTCCATTTAATTAAAATATTTTGTACTTTCTCTTACAATTCCCTCTTTGAAGTATTAATTAGCTTCTCACAAGAGTGTGTTTAATGTCTAAATATTCCAAGATTTTCCAGATACCTGAAAACTCTGCTTCTAGACATTGTTTGTTAATTTCTATATTGTTGTTGTTGCAGTATATTGTCAAAGTGGAACCAACCCATAGCTGACTCTCCAGTGGGTTTTCAGAGTCAGTCTGATCATACAGGAAGAGACTGTCTACCCTTCTCCTGTAGACAAGCTGGTGGATTTGAACCATGTGCCTTCAAAATTGCAGTACAGTTCCTTTCTACTAGATCACCAGAGCCTCCTAATTTCTATATACAACATATATATTTAATTGGACTATTTATATTCTTTCACTTTATATAAACAGCAGTTAGTGTGAACTATTATCACCTCTTTTCCTATTGGCTCCATTCTTTCTTTATTCCTTTCTCCCCTTGTAGTCTTTGACTAAATCTTTCTTGAATTTTTCTTTTACCTTGGCTCATTAGCCACATTTCCTTGCTTAATTATTTGCACACCCATTTCATAAAATGCAAAGAATTTGCAACTGGATTAAAAATTAACTGTTAAATGATTGTTTCCAATTCCCAATTTTCCAAAATCAAATTGCAAAAAGAGATGGACATGAAGGTGATGGCTTCTCATTTCCATTCACTTCACAGGGGAGAAGGTGCATTCCCATCAATGCACAAGGCCAATTCCTAAAAGTCAGAAATGACCCTATAACACAGAAAGAGTGATAATACCAATTGCCCTTCCCATGACCCTCACTATGTTGCTTCAGTGTTCAATGCTTTGCAGCAATGACCACAGAAAACTCACAGATCAGACTCATAATTAGGGGGCTTATTAGGGAAATAGCAGGTTCTAATTTAGGATTTGAAATGACTAAAGAGAGTCTCTTTTAAACTCTTTTAACCTCTTTTAAGGCAGGCCTTTCTCTGGTCTCTGACATTGTGGGTTTGGCTTCTGCACTACTTGAACAAAGTGTCCCAAGATCTTTTAGTGGTGGTAGCAGTTTCAGTACCTAGTAGTATCCCACTTTGCTCACCAAACTTAGGCCTGCAAGCCTTCAGTTCTAGATCCATGGGTCTGCAAATCTAGCTCCCTAACAAATGTAGGAAGGCGCTGACAGTTCCAGTAAGCCTCCTACCCAAAAGACACTTGATTTTCTTGCTTTATGGGCCAGGGGTCTACAGTTCTCTTGCACTAGAACAAGAGTTCTGGTGTCTCTGCTACTTCCACTGCTTTCATCTCGTCATTTTACATGATCTCTTCACTGTCATAGGTCTCTGTGTTCAGGTTCAAGGAAGTTTCAGCCTACAAATCTCAGGTCCAAAGAACTCACTGTATTTGTGGCTCTTTCCTATTATGGGTTGTAAGATATTTTACTTCAGGGCTAATTTTAAACCTAATGCAATGGCAAAAGTGACCAATCTTCACATTAGGATTCTATACACTTTATTGGGAGCTTTCTCCTCTCCTTTACCCACTCTTCCCTCCACCCATGAAATTGATTAAGCCCCCACCCCCCTTGGATCTTCTTATTCATTCAACAATAATGGTCTTCTTAAGGTTAGCCAAAATTTGTTGTGATCCACGCAGTTTTATTACATATATAATATGTAATTTTTCTCGTATTCTCTGCTCTCAGCCAGGATCCATGTGACATTCACTATTATGTTGCTATTGTCATGGCCTCTTCTAAACCCACTTTGTATTTCTGGTAGTTCTACGTCAATGTATGTTCCAGTCATTTTTGGATAATCTTCAGCAGGATTTTGCTTATATCTAATATTTATGATACTGTTCGATAATTTCCTACTCTGGTAGATTGGGGGGGAGGGGGTTGTTGGTTTTTTTAATGGGAATAAATATGGATCTCTTCTAGTCAGTTGGCCAGGTACCTGTCCTTAAGATTGCTTGAAAAAATAAGTATAGGAAGAAAACTAATTCCAACTTGTAACTTAAGGCTATGATTTTTAAAATATTATCTCTTAAACATGATTTCTGTTTGTACCATGGTTAAGTATTCAGCTTCAACCTGACAGGTTATCATTTCAACTTGAAGAGAGAACAATGTGGAAGTTTACTTCAATACAGTTACAGCCTTGGAAACCTAGGGGGCAGTTCAACTCTGTCCAACTGGGTCACTAACAATCAAACTGTCATCATGGCACTTGATGTCTTTTAAATATATGGTGTTATCAATGCTCATTAAGAAGAATAGCTATTCAAACATGAGTGTGGCTATCTCCTGTCCCACATTTCTTCTGTTAACAGAGTATTTTAACTCTTCATCAACAAATCATTAAGGGATTGAAGAGCCCACATTCCAGGGCACAAGAGTAAATATGGAGGCTTACCCTCTCAGAATAGTTGTCATGGTAGCAGAAGCTAAGGCTTCCTTCCCCTTCCCCCACCCCCACCCCCACCCCCACCCCCGCAATTGTGCTGGACAGAACAATTATGTGCATATTTTCTTTTAGCTATTAGGAGAGAAAATCTTTTATAACATAACATTCTGTTTGAATAGAAACTATATACAATAAGACTTGCAGAAATTACACTTAAAAATTATGTCTGGAAGGTAAAAAGTGTAAGGAACAATGTGTGACAACTGAGAAGGGAACATATTGGGGGGAACCACTCAGGGAACAACATTTCCTAATTTGGTCATAATCATCTGTTTTTATGTGAAGGTGTGTGAGCTTTGAAATCTGAAAACCCTTATTAAACTAAACAGACTTTTAGAAAGGCTCAGAGGCTTGTAAACTCAGCTGGAGGTTATTACCAGATCGGTTATGCGCTTCTCAGAGGTTTTGTGGCTGCAAGTGCAAACATCTGAGATAAGTGACTTCAAGCTCTCTCCAAGTTTGAGTCTAACAAAACTGGTCACTGTGAAACTTCGGCCAACAATCCCAGCACAAATCCTAAACTCTTTAATACCACCCCGTGCTGGAAATCTCCATGCTGCTGAGTGTATCATTTGGCATTTTTGACCACAGAGTACAATTTACTGTTACATTTCACTATAAATTCATGACTGGCCAGACAACATGCTCCAGAATAGAATAAATGCATGCCTTAATGAGTGCCTGAAAGGCAAGCTGGCCAATGTGAAATTTAAAGAACAAAGGGTGCTTTTCCATAGTTGGGGCTAATCACAAAGAGATTCAAATAATACCAAAACAAATTAATCCATGACTCAGTCAAGTGGAAAAAAAGAGAGGAGGGGGACTAAACTGAATAGGAAATGGAAATACCTCACCAGTTTAGTGTAAGAAGCTGTGCTGCAAACCCAAAAGCACACATTTCGAATCCATCAGCTGCTCCCTGGGAGAAGGATGGATAAGATC